GATATTTATTTTGATATGTTTTGAGAATGTATAAATTGCATGTGCTGTTGTGTTTCTTCTATTATTGAACAGACCTGCAGACATCTCCTTTTTTCTTCCGGTATTCACAGGCCGACTTTTTTCATTAAACACCCCGTAAAGACGTAAAATTAAAAGAGTTACACACGCGGATTTTTGTTTGACAGACGAATTAAAAGACATTAGTAAAACAATGTACTAACTACTTTACTCAATTGAGTGTGCAATGCTTTGTTTATTCACAGGCACCTGTGCGATTAATCGTTATAGATGCGAGGGTGGAAATAAGTGTATCCCTTTGAAATGGATCTGCGATGGAGTTCATGACTGTGACGATAAACTTGATGAAAGGAATTGCTTCACGGGCAAAGAAACGAACATTCCTTCATATAGTAAGCTGAGATCTCATAACCGTGATACTGAGAAAAACAAGTTTGTGGCCATAATAATTTCCTGCTCGGCTGCCTTGCTAGTCGAAGTAAGATGTTAAGTTGTGGTATTCGTTGTCGCTTGCAGCTGATACGTGCTGGGAGGTAGAGGCAATAGCATAGACCTATTTTAAAATTTGACATCTCTCGCAGTTTTGTATCGGACAACACATTTCAGTTTAAATCCAAATATGACATGGCAAGCAAAGCCGCTCTATCAAGTATCGCGAGTAAGTATCGGAAGTATAAGGGAGTTTTATGCGATCATAATCTAATGATGAGCCCTATGGTGTGAGCAAAGTTAACTTCGCTTCATCAGAGAGATTTATTTTCACTAGCAATGCGATAAAACAATTGATTCGTGTTTAAGCTGCATGTACATCATGAAGCTATGATGGAAGTGAGACGTTTGGAGTGCACTCAAGAAAGAAGAGTTGTTCTCGGCCTCGTCCCGAGCAACTTTTACGCGTCTTTCGTGCTCTCCAAACTTCCCGCGTGCGTGTACACTAAAGCATGAATCAATTGTTACAATTATGTTATTTTTTCTTGTTGTTGTTGTTGTTGTTAATATCATTGTTGTAAAATTTCATAATTTCTTGCTTGCCGCATTGCGAGATCTTGATTTTTCTTTTCGCAGCCAGTGCTAAGCAAATTGGAAAAGCTCAGGACATTATAGACAGCCCCAACAGATCCACTGTCGGTGGTAAGCGATCTGAAAAATATATGTATGTTTAAATGCATCTTTAGAAAGTTTTACGGCCGAGGGTGATATTCTAAGGTGGTTCAGAAAAATGCATCCAAGAACGAAACTATGGGACGAATTTTATGGTTTGGTATGCAAGTCTTCTACACTATATATGTACTAGGACGTTTCTTGCAACTCTTGTAGTTATTTCTCATCATTAGACTGGAGGACTGTATCTAAAAAAAATTTCAATGAAATAATTTTCCATGCAAACCCTTGTTGCCACAATCGAATTCTCACGGGCCTGAAAAATTGTGTTCCTTTTCCATTTTCATACTGGTCCAGCGAAGCGCTAGCATCCTTGCAGGCACGATTATACCCAG